GTCAGGGTTTTGTTGAAAAGGGGTTTGGGCAGAGGCGCAAGCATGCACGCACGGTGTTCCCAAGCCTGACACCTGTCAGCTCGGCCGTCTGATGGTCCGACGGGTCGCGACGTGTGTTTGCACGCGTGTCGCCACGTGAGATGCTATCTATGCGTGATGAGCGGCCCCACCGGGGGGACGCGCGGTCGGGACACGGTATAGGGACGCAGGCAGCACAAGACTACGGAAGGGCCGGCGGGGTCTTCGCGTCCGCGCTCGCGAGCTCTCATTCACTAACGGCGACGCACAGGGAGGTGGCAGGCGTTGACGACGGCGAGCAGAGCGCGGTGGTGGTGGCACCAGTAGAGGCACACGTCGTCGAGCTTTAAACCAATAGCTAAACTCAAGACAACTAAATATTTAGCTGCTTAGCTTAGCTACATTCATCTACTTAGCTAAATATTTAGCCATTTAGCAAAAAATCAGCTGCTTTGGTCAATTTAGTTTAGCTACATAGCTAAATTCTTAGCTGTTTAGCTAAATTGTTAGTGATCCCATGTTTAGCATTTGAATTAGCTATGTAGCTAATTTTTCTCTCCGTGTGCAGTCATGAAGTTGTTGTGTCGGAAGTTGCGGCGAGGGCGGCGTCCGCCGGCCGGCCGAGCGTCCGACGCACCAGCAGGTCGCGAGGGAGGCCTGTTCGCCGAGATGCGCCCCTGCGTCTGGACTCTGTGGGCGTTCCAGATCTGGCCGCTTTTCGAAGAGGACGGTAAGATGGTTGTGTGATGCGGGCAGGCAGCCGCTCCTGTGTGAGGGGCGCGCCGCTGAAGGACTTCCCTCTGCTCTTGCTTTTGAACTGCCGCAGGCCGCGTGGTGTTTCGCAAACGCTCCCTCTACTTCGCGTACGCCGTCGCGTCCTGGACGGGCACGACGTACATCGCCCTGCGCGCGCTCATCCACTGGTATTCGGTATACAGTCACTTCGAACGAGTCCCATACTCAGTCACTACGCCCACGCAAGCATACGCCCACGCAAGCAGCCGAGACGCTCATCAGACCTCCTGTCTGTGCCGCATATCGCAGGTGATCCAGTCCGCTGGGTACTTCAGCCTCAAGGCCTACTACGCCTGGTTCTTCCTCGTGGGCCACTTCTCCATCGCCATCCCGCTGCTGTTCTGGACCAACATGAGGGGCGTGGCAGAGGCGTTCAACTACGCGCAACGCTTCCAGGTTCCACCCACAGGCAGTTCCAGGCGTGAGGGGGGGGGGGCGCTAATCGCGAGCGTTACAGGGAGAGAGCGTGTGCGTGACGACTTGAGCATCCTGACGAACGCCGACGTTAAGTAGAACACCATGCAAGGATGTTATGGGAGGAAGAACAGATGGGG